TGCTTTTTTGGCACCGGACTATCGTTGGCCGCGGGGTTCGAACTTTCCCCGCGTCGGATGAGGTTGGTGCAGGTCGAACTGCCCCAAGGGCCCCGACACTGTACATTCCACCGCGTTGGGGGCCCGGCGCCGCTTCTACGAGCGCGAGGGCGGGCCGTGCTCTTCATGGACCCCAGCGAGGAGGCCGGCATGCTCGAGCGCCTCAAGCACAAAAAGGTGCCCATCAACAAGATCACGGTCAAGGAGAGCAAGAAGAAGTCGGTCACGAAGCAGCTCCAGAGCATGTGCTTCCAGTACCCGAGCTCAAGTACCTCGGCCAAAAGGCCTTTATCAGCTACACGCGCTCCGTCTACCTGCAAAAGGACAAGCACGTCTTCAAGTTCGACAGCCTCGACCTCGACGCCTACGCCGCGAGCCTCGGCCTGCCGGGCACGCCGCAGATCAAGTTCCAAAAGGGCGAGGACATCAAGAAGGTCAAGAACGCGCCGCGCGCCGGCCTGTCGAGCGACGAAGACGACGACGATTCGGACCTCGACGGCGCGCTCGACCCCGAGAAGGCCAAGCTGAAGGCAAAGAAGAGCAAGAAGAACGAGGTCAAGACAAAGTACGACCGCATGTTTGAGCGGACGAACCAGGACGTCCTGTCGGGCCACTACTCCAAGGTGCTCGGCGAGGCCGACGACGACGACGCCGACGACTTCCTCGCCGTCAAGCGCGTCATTGACACGAACGAGCTCGACGACCCGGCACTGGCGGACGCGGGCCGAAAAAGGTGACGATTGGCGCCAGGAGTCATCATCGACTCGAAGCGCGGGAAAAGGCGCTCCTGTCGAAGAAGAAGATGCTCAAGTACAAGGGGTCGGGCACGAAGCTCGTGTTCGACGAAGACGGCGTCGCGCGGCCGCTGTACGAGCTGCAGGACGAGGACGCGTTTGCGCCAGGACGGCCCGGCCGAGGAGCAGCGCGCCCGGTTCGTCGAGGACGAGGCGGCGCGGGTCAAGGACGCCGACGCCGACGACAAGGAGCGCGCGCGGCTGCTGCGGCGGGAGAAGAGGCTCAAGAGGAAGGCCAGGGAGGCCGAGGAGAGGGGCGACATGCCGCGCGTGGGTCAGGCCATGGCGACGGGCGGCGACCTCGAGGAAGACCCACTGGCGCTGCTGCGGTCGTTGCCGATGAGCGGCGGACAGCCGGCCGAGGACAGCAGCGAGGCGGAGGAGGACGCGAGGCCGCGGAAGAAGGCCAAGAAGTGGTTCCAGACGGACGACGAGGCCGCGCCAGCAGACGGCAGGAAGGTGTTGGAGATTGACCGGGAGCCCGAGACGCTGGAGGATCTCGAGGCTCTTGCCGCGGGTCTGCTGGAGTAGGTGGAGAAGAGAGAAGAAATCTAGATACCCAATCGCAGGATCAGCTACTGGAAGGCAATAGATCAGCCGTCATAAGTGAACATCATCAGCCGTTGTAAGTGAACATCATCGGCCGTCGTGAGTCAACATCGTCTGCTGTCGGAAGTAAATGCCTGCCGTCAAAGTCAACATGTGAAGTCTAGCAAGTCGACCGGAGAATCTCAGGATCCTCATGATGGAGTCGTTCACCATGTACCTTTTTTTGAGGTGCCTAGGTACTCAGGCAGGTACGTACCTCGGGTTGAAGACTAGTCATGCACGCCCCATTGCCGGGCTGCATGACTCGGAACAAAGACCCTTAATAAGCGGACCCCTCCACCCTCTTGCACCCCTCTTGCACCCCCCCCCCCAATGTGCCCCTCGTCCCGTATCAGCCGCGGCCCATGACAGTCATGCTCGGCGCCTTCAGTTGACGACAGCCTGACATTGTCTGCTCCTTCGACAACGCTCACGCTCCACGCTTCACGCTCCACGCTCCGCCCCTCGGATTCTGCCGAGGCTTCTGCTGTTCGACGTCTCTGGCGATCTTCCCTACTGCACTCCAAGTCCTACAAGCACGCACAATGCCGCACTCGGCGACCTCGGCCGCGACGCACAACGCCCCCGTCAACGGCGCATCACCACCCCTCCCCGAACCCGCCCCAGCACCCGCCAAGATGGCCAGCGCCGCCGCCCCCCTCGACCGACACAGCTCAATGCACGCCCGCACGCTGCAGCAGGCCGCCGAAGACTGCAACCGCCGCGTCAACGCCCTCCTCGCCCTCGACCCGGACTCGGCAGCGGCGAAATCGACAACGACGACGACAACGACGACAACAACACCACCCCACGTCCTGCGCGCCGTCCAGTCCCGCGTCCGCGACGCCCTCGCCGTCATCGACGACGCCCTCGTCCGCTACCCGAGTCCCGACAGCCTCTCCCTCTCCTACAACGGCGGCAAGGACTGCCTCGTCCTGCTGCTGCTCCTCCTCGCCGCCCTCGCCCGCCGCCGTCAGGCCACGTCGGCCGCCGTCGCCGCCGCCGCCCCCTTACCCCGCCACCCTGCAGGCCCGTCTACATCCTCGCGCGCCACCCCCTTTGCCGGAGGTCGGACGCCTTCGTCGAGAGGCCTCGGGGCGCCCCACTACGGCCCTCGACCTCGCCGGTTTCCCCGCCCCCAATGAAAGCCCGGCCCTTCGC